ATCATTCGGGATACAAACCCGACCTTTGAATCTTAGCAAATCCTCACTACATATAGAGCATTCTTCTCTTTCCCAGCTTCACCTCTTCTACAATTGTTATAAGCTGAGGGTCTTTCTTTTGTACCGATCGAATCTGTTGGATTAATTGGGGTTCTGCCTTAATGTTGGCAATCATACTTATCACACCACTAATGGACGGAGTCGAATGCCAATCCATTATTTCCTCTAACAATCTTATTTCTTGGATCATTAGATGAGCTAAGACTCCCGTAGATTTTTTGCTTAGAGCGTCGGCCACAACATTAGCTTTTCCTGAATGATAATGGATTGTACAATCATAATCTTTTAAGAAATTCATTCATCTTATCTGTCGTATATGTAAATCCTTCTAAGAGAAAAGGTATTTCAAGCTCTTATGATCCGTGTATATTTCGAATTGCTCACCATATAGATAATGCCTCCACATTTTCAAAGTGAATACTATTGCAGTCGACTCTAAGTCATGAATTGGATATTTTTTTCTCATATTCTTTCAACTGTATGGATGCATATGCCACTACTTTCCCATATTGTATTAATACACAGCCCAAGCTTTTATGTGAAGCATCACTATAAATCACAAATCCCCAACTCCCCTCAGGTATTGTTAAAATAGGTGTCGAAGTTAATTGAACTTTTAGTTCTTGAAAACTCTCCTCACATTCACTTGTCCACTCAAATTTGACATTTTTCTGTGTCAATCGAGTCAATGGGGTTGCGATTCGAGAAAATTCTTCTACAAATTTTCTGTAATATCCTGTCAATCCCAAAAAACTTCGAACTTCAATCACATTACTTGGTTGTTTCCAACTAACAACGACTTCAACCTTTGAAGGATCAACTGATAGACCTTCCTTTGATATAACATGTCCTAAAAATGTCACTTGTTCAAGCCAAAATTCACATTTACTAAGTTTGGCATACAATTTCTTTTCTCTTAATATTTGCAATACCATTCTTATATGCAGCTCATGTTCCTTCTAATTCTTAGAATAAATTTAAATATCATCGATGAATACCAAAATAAATTTATCCAAAAAGTGTTTAAAGACCTGATCAAATCCATAAATGCAGCCAGTGCATTGGTTAATCCAAAAGGCATGACTAAAAATTCATAATGGCCATACCTTGTTCTGAAAGCTATCTTGGGAACATCTTCACTTTAATCTTAAGATGATGGTATCCAGATCTAAGATCAATTTTTAAAACACTTGTAATCTTTGTAATTGATCAAATAAATCATCAATTCTAGGTAGTGGATACTTATTTTTCACTGTCACTTGGTTCAACTGTCTATAATCGATACACAATCTCATGGTCCCATCTTTCTTTTTAACAAACAATATCGAAGCACCCCAAGGTGACACACTGAGCCTGATAAAACCTTTATCTAATAATTCTTCCAATTGTTGTTTAAGTTTCTTAAGTTCTGCAGGTGCCATTCTATAAGGTGCCTTAAAAATTGGGGCTACCCTTGGCAATAATTCAATAGAGAATTCAATTTCCCTGTCAGACGGTAATCCTGGCAATTCTTCAAGAAAACGTTTGGAAATTCTCGGATAACCGGAGTGGTATCCAAATTTATCTCTTCCTTCTTATCTTCTTTGATGTAGGCAAGAAAGCCTTGACACCATTTTCGAAGGAGGCGATTAGCTCAAATACAGGAGATTAAATATGATGGGGAGTCTTCTCTGATACCATTGAAGTAAAATACTCGTTGATTCGGAATACTAAAGGTAATCATTCTCTTCTAACAATCAATACTTGCAGGGTATGCAGAAAGCCAATCCATGCCTAAGATTACATCAAAATCTTGAATTTCTAAGAGTATTAAATAAACCAACAATTCCTTTTATTTTATCTTTATTACACAGAATTTGTACACTATATTGGTATCGCTTGAATTTCCCATCGGTGTGGCTACCTCTAGAATGTATTCTAATTGTTCTGGTTCTACCTTTAAGTGGCATGCAAAGTGTGGTGACACAAATGAATGAGTAGATCTAGGATCAATCAAAACATGAGCTACTTTTTTAGAAGATAATAAGAATATCTTGGATCACTGATTTTGAGGCCTGAGCGTCTTGCTGGGTGACCGCAAATACTCTTCCCTTCATCTGAGGCTTTTGAGCTATCTCTCCCTGCTTTGGAAGCTGTTGCATCTTTAAGAAAGGACACTCTAATTTGGTGCCCCAATTTTTCACATTTAAAACAGGCTTCAGTATTCCAATAACAAGGGCTCGATCTATGGTTTTTCCTACATTTTTCTTTCATCATAAAACCTTCTAAAGCCCTTCATAGAATTTTTCACATGGATAGTAGCCCCCGAGTCAAGAACCCACACATCCTACTCCTCATTGGCAATCAAAGTCTCATGGACCACGTAAACTATCTCTTTCCTTGATCATCCACTGGTATTAGCTTGAGGCTTACCGGTATTGGGCTTAGGACCAAAATGAGGGATTTGTGGAGGAGGATGATACCTATAAAACTTTTGGGTATACCCATAATCTAAAGCATTGCACCTTCGAATAATCTTGGCTTGAGGGCCAAACCGACCTCCCACCTACTATCATGGGTATGGGTGGTGGTTTAGGCCTAAAAGGCATGGGGCTAGCAAGGTTTGGTGGGTAGGCATAGGTTTTAGGAGGGGGGCTAAATGGATAAGGGGAGTAGGATTTTCCCTTTTGCTTCCCCTTCCCTTTCCATTTGTCTTTTCCCTTTCTTTTCTTATTCTTAGCATTATCACTCTCACTCATTCCCACATTACATATATTCTCCATAGAAGAGTTAGGCAGAGAAGAAGAGATAGGAATAATGAGTAAGGGAGTTGAAGAAGATGAGGGTTAGTGAGATTTTACCATATAGACCATGGAAGATGATCCATCCATTGTCATCTTTCTTTGCTCTTTCCCTTTTATGGAAAATGCAATCTCCTCCACTGTTATAGGCTCATCTTTGGCCATCAAATTGGCCATAAAGGTCTCCCATGAGGGAGAGATCGAAAGCACAAATATCGTCTTTTGTGTCACCTCATCATATGAGTGACCGGTTCTCTCACTCTCTCTTATAAAACTCTTGAACTCTCTTAGATGATCACTTACTATGGTGTGATCATCCATTAAGCAACACATGATATTCCTCATTCTAATGATCGTTTGAGCTTCATTCGGTATGTCGTATTTCTTTTTCATGCTCTCCATAATATCTTTGACCCATATGAAATTCTCATACTCCTTAACAAAGGAATCACTCATGGTTTCAAAAATAATATTCATGGCACTTTGGTTTTTGTTATGCCATGTCTCATATGCATCCTTTACAAATTGAAGAGCATTGATTACGGGCAAATCAGGTGGTCTAGAAGTCAATAATGGCAATAGACCATCTTCATGAAATACATAACCAATTTTCCTTCTCCATTCCGAGAAGTTGGTTTCATTGAACCTCTCTTCCTTAAGCAATTCGGTGAGTATTGCACGGGCTGCCATAGGTTCCTACTTGGCACTCTATAATCCCTCTAAAGACCCTAAAAGAGGGTGTAAATGAGTCTAGCTCTGATACCAATTGATGGTGGATACAAAGACTAGAGTAAATTTCCAAGCAAAAAAAAAATGGACACCTTCAACAAGCCACTTGCTAAAAGCCAAGCTAAGTGAATAAGTTACAATCCTTTTACATAACAATTACAACCATTTATAGTATAGTATAACCAACTATAAACAAACTCAAATACCAACCCCTTATGAGGCAATTACATATAAAGCAAGACTAGCTTATAAATTATACTTTCATAGCACAAATTACATAAACTATGTCTCAAAACTTAAATACATCATGCAACTAATCTAAAAAAATTCTAAAGAACACAATCAACTAAACAGGGAATTATAATGCCAAATTAAAATAAGGAAGCCATGTTTTGAACCCCTTGTGCTGAGGCCACGCAATCGGGCCCTATAGGGACTTAATTTTGTACCTTTGGATTGTACAAAAGTCGTTCAATCTCACAAGAGTGTCTAATCAAAATAGGAAGAAATTACACACCTTAAAATCACTTCTTAAGATCTCAATACACTGGCATTACCATCTAAAACATAATGCAACAGGTTTGAACCGAATCAGATAAAGAACATGAGAGTTATGACCAAACTACCCATGGTGGTCCCTCGGACCACCAAAACAGTCTTGTATGGAAAGATTATGAACTCCCATAGATAAAAACGTGATGCAAAATTTCTAAAAATGGAGTGACACTCTGAGACTAAATTATTTGATGGGTTTGAAGCAAATTAATTAAATGATACTATGCATGATCATTGATTCTCATGCATATAGACTATAACTCATAAAGGACAATACTATGAATAAGCATGATGAGAAAGATGATCCAATGGGGATTTTAAGATCAATGAAACTTTTCTATATTCAAAACTCCAGCAACTATAGATGCCAAGGATATGATCTTATGAGAAAAGAAAACTCAATGGAGTTTACCTTGATAAATGCATACTATGAACTTAAGCATAAGAAAGGAGGACCACCATCAAGATCACCATTAATGGAACTCTAAAAGCTCTCTCTTTTCAATTTTCTCTCACAAAACCTTAGAAGAAGGAGTGGAATAATAATTTTCCAAAATAGTTGAAGAGTTGAGATAGTTAGGATTTGAGATCTCTTGATGTGCTTTTATAATATAGGTGTAACTTTGGATTCAATCAACACCCTTGATGCACTAATCCAAAGGCACATGAGAGGCTAATGTGCCTAGCCACCCATCCCCATCCAACCACTAGGATGAAGAGATAGGATTTCACGTCATTATCACTCACCCTAACTTTAAGTTATGCTACTTTACCATTTTGTCCTTGGCCCAAGTTTTTGTTTCAATTGTATCCAATATGGCTTTACAAAAATACCCTTAGTTTTTTTAATAATGTATTAGAGTAGATAACCACAAAGGCTAGAGGGCAAAGAAGTAATTGGCAAAGCTCACACATGTGGAGATATTCTTCTTTATCAAAGCCAATCACTTTGTAGATCTAATATTTCAAACCAATCAATTTAAAGATCATGTCTCGTTCACACGTGTGTGAAGATATTTTTCAACGCAAATTTGAAATTACATTTTCTCTTTAATATCAAATAAATTAATTAATTAAACTTCACACATGCCAACAATGACCCATGTGTGAGTTAATTAAGACATGTGATAAAAATGGGGCTTTAATTTATAACATTAAATAACAAAATATAACAATATATAACAAGACACCATAACGCAATCCCTTTTAAAACAAGCAACCAAATGCCAATCTATTCCCTCGCCTAGGGATCAGTGTCCAGCTGAGGGGTGATCCTAGAGTGAGGTGTGGGGTGCCATGTGGCAGTCCTATGACAACTCGGACGCCACATAGCATTATCAGGTCAGGATTAAAGTGAAATTTGAGCCAAACAGTATAAAAACCCTTATTTTTTAGCAAATAAAATTTTGAAAAATTCTCTAAAATTCACAATAAATATTTAAAATATTTTTGAGCAATTATTAGGTTTTTCTCATCATTATAAAATTGGACAAAAGGTATAGTAAGATCTCAGGCTAATAATTATAGGTATCGGAGTACTCCGTTTAGCTAGTCCTGAATGATATTCCGTTGAGTCTCAGATCGACCCAATAGACCTATGTTCCACAGTCTAAAGCAGGGACACATAATTGGTCATATCAAAGCCACTGAGCCAGAATTTCCGATCATTCGGCTCTCAATGGATTATAAGTGTACCCCTGTGGGACATGATCCAACTCAATTATAGGGGTCCTCTCAAAGCATATATGCATTGGCTCTTCCAAACTCGGATAATGCATTTGGAAGAGTGGCTTCCCATATGAAATGAAAATGTACATGTCATGCAATGGTCTCGTGTCATGATACGAACTTATGTCCCATAAGTCTTGACCATTCTATACAGGGCAAATACTCAATAAGTACTCGGGTTCTATTTTTCTCACTTGGATTCTTCAAGCCCTGGCCGATTGCAGCTAAACATGAAGCTAACCTATAAAATCCTGATTAGGAGATGACCCTCACACCGCCTTAAGAAATTGCTTTATTAACACGTGAACTCTCGATACCTTATGCGTACTCAAGGTAAAAGAATATAAGCTCTATTTCACAAGACGCCAAGATTTCAATGTCTCAATTGCTCCCACTGAATGGAAATTAGGCCTTGATAAGCTATATTTCCAATATATTTCAAGGACGCATTTGATAACACGAACTCGCGGCTTTTGACGCAGCATCATCTTAGAACTGCAACACTCCTCGTGTTTGCTAATGAGATGTATTTTTGAAGCTACCTCTTCCCACAGTCTCCAAAATAATATCTAAAGAGGAGGTGGTAGCTTCCATGCTCCCCCATGGAAACTGCCTCTTTAGAAGCTTGGGAAGATGGGGCTTCCACCAATCAAACCCGTCAACATGTATCTGAGGTAGGTGCAATATTTTAAAACATGGATCAGTGGGGTCGATCGCCCACTCATTCCAACCGGGCAAATTGGTGATTTAGTCAAATAAAGGAGAAAAGTAGAAAAATGAAGTTATATAGATCCATCTTTCAAATTTTTTCTTTGATGGTTCTAAGCTAATAACAAATAGAACAAGAGATTTTTGCTAAATGAGATAATGTTCCTAAGGTTTTTACGTAGAAAGGGTATGATTGCCAAATTCCGACCATGAATGGGATAGCATCAATCGTTTCTTGATCCAAATTGGTGATTTTCCCATCTCTGGTGTGTGGATGCATTACTGTCGCAAGATAGAATATAAACTTAAATAGTCAGCCATTTGTTCTTAATCTCTTGTTGTTCCCAATTGCCAGAGATTTCATCGAGTCAAAGTGTGTCTAAAAACGATGTTTTATAAGTCTCAAACAAATAGAGGGAAGCCACTGCTGATTTTGGTAAAAACATAGCAGAGAAACTCAATTCCTCCCTGAAAAACATGTTTCACTTCCACATAAACATATATCTTATAATGGTGCACAATTGCACATTTCGCCACCCCATATGAGGAGGGGAGGGGCATCAAATTCGTAAAAATCATGGAACATTCTTATTGAGAGAGAGAGGATGAATCCTAAGGGCATGCTGGGGCAAGTATGTGGTATTTGTACTCAAAGAATGAGAGAGAGAATCCTAGAGGCAAGTTGGTTGTATTTGTACTCCAGCAGAGACTCCCTTCACATTAGTGCACGAAGCAGTTGAAGCTTCCCCTTGGTTATTGTACTCCAATTTGATGTCATCGAGCTTAACGTTTTCACATGGGAATGCCGCGCTGCAGAAGAGATTCACTGCAACTTTGGAAGTGGAGGTTCCTATAATGCTCTTGAAATTTATATTGTTGATCTTGACTAGCGAGGGACCCAGCAACAAAGGTAAGAAAAGGTTCGATCAAAATGAATTCTTGGGTTTGTCTGCAATACATACAACTATATGAAATGAACCTCTCTCTCTCTCTCTCTCTCAACAGTTTTTGAAAATCGATACCCTTACTCGTTAGTGCGATAAATTTTGTTAAATGGTATTTGAGATAATTAGTGAATGTTGAGATATAAATATTTTAGTGAAATAAAATATTTTATTGAAATAAATGTATTTGTTAGGGATTATGTGGTAAAAAATTTCTTATCTCCAATGCATTCATCCAAAATTATATGATCATACCACTCGCATTATCAATAAAAAATAAAAATATTTTTGTTTATATGCTGAACTACTTTTATTATGCTAAAATATTTTTTATTTTTCAAAATAAAATATTACTCATTAAAAATAAAAAATACCCAATTCCAAGATTAAGATATATCCAAAAACAGCCAGCCGTTTAGACACTTCAGAGATGTCCAGTAGGTATTTCTAGAATTATTGACCGTATGTCTTTGTCCACCGAAGTCGACGCCTAGTCAGACCCGCAGACATATGTGTTCATGTTTCATAGCCTTGAACCTATTCTTTTTTAACTAAAGAAAGGGGTGAACCCACTTTTTTCAAGTGCACATATATCCATGTTCGTACAAGAGCAATGTATATACCCAGTTTTTGGAATTGGTTAAAATTTTTCTGAATTCCTAAACCCGGAACCACAACACTCTAGTAGACCTTAGTCCCCCTTTTAAGCATAAAATCCAAACTTCAAACCTATTCAAGCCCAAAAATAATCATTATAGATAGACTTGAGCCCAATAAACATAAAAAACCAACCCGAACATCGATCTGACAACCTGAAACCTAGAGTCAACACCCAAAAGTCGTATCCGTTTATCCCCTACTAAAATAAACCAAATTAAGTTAAATATAATACTAAATTGAAGAAGGGTCGTCACTTGGTTAGACGGTAAAAAGCTTGGGTAGCCAGCACAAGAGTATGGGTTTGATTCCTGAGAGCGGCCACTTTGTGTATAAGAAGCCAAATGTTAGGATTGTCTCCAGCTCACCCCTCCCAGGACCCTACATAGGTGGGGACCAGCACCGTGTTATGGCTCTTTTTCTTACTAAATTGAAGAAGAGGTCATAAGCTTTCCAGCGATCCAATAATCATCTGAATCTGATTAACCGTTTGAGAATTATGATCCGGACAATATTATTTAGCAGAAATTTCATAATGGTCTTTGCGAAAATTCTAGAATGCCCTAGAATTTTTTGGTTGCAGAAATTCTAGAATGCCCTAGAATTTTTTGGAAGCTTCTGCAAACTGTTTTGAAGGGATGACTTTCTGATAAATATGTTTTTGACCCAAATTTCCCTAGGATAATTAGAAACATTTTTAAGATAACTAAAACTAGTTTTTTAGAGTTTTCATAATTACCCTCGACCTACTTCTATTTAAACCCTTATGAAGTACTAAATTTAAAAGAGAAAAAATGCCTAAAAAAAAAAATCGAAAATCCCCCAAAAATCAGACAAAATACAAAAAAATCCCATAGGCTAGAAAAGACCTCTAAAACCCTAACGTCATAGAGCTGGGAAACCCTGGCCCTAGGTGCAAGCCTTCTATCCAAACTTTCATTGATAAATACAAGCCTCTCTATCCAGATTTTCACTGATAAATCCAAGCCCTAAGGAACTAGACCAAATTTTCATTGACAAACCCAAGCCCTAGGGAACTAGACCTACGCATCTTCATGAAGAAAAGTGGAGGAGCACGGTGTAAACAACCCGCGATCTTGATACGGGCAACAACTCTGGGTCTTCGGGTGTGTCGGGAAGCCGGCTAGGTAAGTCCTTTTATTATTTATTTCTTTATTTTTTTAGAATAATTGAATTTAACTTTTAGATCAATTTGATTTAATTAGTTTAATTTAGTTTGTTTTTAGTTTTAGGGTTTTCTAGTTGGATTTTCGCGATTTTGAACCGGATCTTCTAACGGTTCTTAAAGAATCCTCATCTCCCCAGATCTGGTTTCTTTTTTATTCATAATTAGACGGATCCCACTCATCTCTACTGGTCTTTATTTTTAACTTGTTGAAAGCATAAATTCAGCGAGGTTTCATTGGAGATCTCTCTGGATTTAGTTATAAACAACATCGTAACTGAAGCTATCCCAAACATCTATTTAGATGAGAGGCCTAGGAATATCACAGTGCGTGGGGTGCCAAATGCAAAGGCTTCCCTTGTATAGGATTGCTCTTTTGGATTGCGAAAGATTGTCCATTCTAGGGACAAGATACTATGCTAGTTGGGGAGCTTATTGTAGCCCTCTACCTTATTAGCATTGACATTGTAATATGCTGCCCCCATAAATTGAATAAGGAAAAGAGAAAGAATAAGGGGAAAAGAAAAGCTATTTAGTAAGTAAATAGCTATTTACTATTTATTTGGTGAACATGGATTGGTTTGTATTGAGCCAAGGCTCTAAACAATCAAAGTAAAACACACATTCAAATAGTGTTGAGAAATATGGTTTCAATACTGAAAATATTTGTGATAGCCTTAAAATATATTTCAACTCTAATTATAAAATTTAAAGTATAAAAAAAAATGTAGAACGAGCAGATCTATGAAAACATGAAAATATTGAAAATTGACGATTCAAAAATGCATTACAAAATGCATTATTTCCAAAACTTAAAATCCATTTTTTTTTCATGTCCATGCTTCTTGATGTCAAGATGATCAATTTGAGGATATTTGGGCTTCAAAACAATCTCTTCTAGTGAAATTTTTGAGGTGCACTCTAATTTGATTGTTTAGAGCCTCAGCTCTATATAAACATTTTTCATAAGAAAAAGTAAACGTAAAGACTATTTATATTTTATACTAGGTCACAATCACTTTTATCCCTTGGATTTCAAATTAGGTGATTGTAAGAGTGTAATTGAAAAGACTTAAAGTTCAAAAGACAAAAAAATTATCTGACTTTGTGACTAAGCCAAACCATCCAATTTGATATCTAATGAGTAGGAGTTATTGTAACCTCCTTGTAATAAAGATTACTACTAGTCTCATTGTATACAATCCTATTAAATAATGAAAAACGTTTATACAAGTGTGAGGCTCTAAACAATCAAATTAGGACGCACCTAAAAATTTTCACTAAAAGAGGTTGTTTTGATTCTCAAATATCCTCAAATTGGTCATCTCGATGGACATGAGGAAAAAAAATGGATTGCAATTTTCAAAACAGTGCATCTTGTAATACATTTTTGGACTGTTAAGTTTCAAGATTTTCAAGTTTTCATAGATCTACTCGATCTACATTATTTTTTATGCCTTAAAGTTTTATAATTAAAGATGAAACTATATTTTAAGGCTATCATAAAGATTTCCAGTCGTGATACCACATTTACATATACTATTTGAAGGTGTACTTTACTTTGATTGTTTAGAGCCTCGGTTTATACAAACCGCACCCTTAAGTAATGTTACATTTAATACAATAACAAACCAATAGTATCTTGAGTATATTAATTTCTATTAATTTCAAATAAGATAATCTATCCCAGGTAAAATTATTTGATATCCAAACAAGCCCTAAATGCATCTAGTTTGATATGGTACCACTACAATTTTAATTGCATTGTTTAATCATCTACTTTAAGAGAGGGAGAGAGAGAAAGAGAGAGAGAAGACAGCTAAAAGCCTAAAACAAAAGGAGTTGAGGAGTTGTAACTCTGAAAATAGCATCCAACAGCGTGTAGAGAGAGAAGAAACAAAAGGAGTTGGGGAGTTGTAACTCTAAAAATTACATCCAGCAACGTGGATGGTTTGGTAGTAGTGGTTCTCTCTATAAATATGCACCTACATTTCCATGAGGCACAAACCATCTCTCTCTCATACACACACATCGATAGGTGAAACTAAAGGAAAAAAGCATGGGTTACACCAAAAAGAACTCCAAAAAATATGTTTTGGTGTGTTGTGTTATTTTCCTGGCCATGGCATGTGTTGTTGTGGAGGCTTCCTCAGCTAGAGTGTTCAATGTGATGCAATTTAGCGCCATTGTTGATGGCACCAAGGACAACACAAAAAGAGTATTACATCAATTAATTAAAGTGAATGCCAATAGTTTGATGTTTATTATATCCTCTTTAATATCAAAATAATCATTATATCTTATGTTATATTAAACAATAAGGGTAGGGGCCACGTAACCTTTCTGTTTTACCAATGGGATTGTATAGAAAGAGACCATGTACCTTCGATACAAGGAGGTCATAAGTACTTATAACCATTCAATGTGAAATCTGATTGCTTGGGTGTGGTACAAATATAAAAAAAAATTCTTTTGAAGTTTGAGCTTGGTCATTGGAATAAATGTAGCCATCCAATTTCATATCCAATAGTCAAGATTAATTGTGATTACCTTGTACCAAAAGTAAATGACGTTATTGTATACTTTTCCTTCAGATATAGGCTGACAGTGGGCCAGGTAACACACCGAGATTGACTCTTCCAAGGGGTTGGGCCTCTGCTATGGCAGTTGGGCTGAGCACTTGCTAGGCTGGACACCAACACATTACTGTCAATACTAAAGTAGAATGGGGAGGATGGTGGTAAGAAACTTTCTTTTTTTGGGTAGGTCAACGGAGATCACAAGGCCATTCTTGTTTTTAGAACTAGTCAATTTTTTAATTCGTTGGTTAGAATGAAGGTCAAAACTTTTAACTGGAGCTCAGATGATACTACCACCACAACCACAACCCTATTCCCATAATAGTAAGCTACTTGGTTGGTTCTTTTTTATTCTAAGAGCTACCATTTAAGTGCTTCTTAGAACACTCTGTTTATTAAAAAATCTTCTTTTTATTTTTGTTTTTGGGAAAGCAAGCCTTAGCCTCCTATAATGGTTTTATTAAATACAAAACTTCCATTTTTTGAAAAGGGAAAAAAAATAATGTTTTCTCATTCTTAACATTTATTTATTGCCATTTCTTTTTTATAACGACATCGCCCCAAGGCACTGCAATGGCATAACAATGTTGTGTTTTTTGAAAGCTCGAGTTAGTTGGCTTAAGGTGGAGTGAAATTTTTGCAGGCTTTCGGGGCAGCCTGAAAGGAAGCATGTGAGTGGAAAGGACCATCAAGCCTTGTGATCCCCGAGGGAACATTTCTCGTTGGTCTAGTCCTGTTCAAGGGTCCGTGCCCAATGCCTCTCCCATGGTGGTGCAAGTGAAGGACAAAGTGAAGGACTCCACAGATATGAGCAAATACCCTTCCGACGAGTGGATTGTGTTCCAATATGTAGATGGCCTCGTGGTAACTGGGGGCGGGACATTCGATGGTCAAGGAGCATCTGCATGGAGCCTCAACCAGTGTCTAAGAAGGCCCATTGCAAACTCCTCCCTACCGTACAAATAATCTTCCTCCTACAATCTATTGCTATTTATAAGACTGTTCTAGCTATCCAACTTCCAACATTGTTGGATCTAGTTTTTAGTTTAGTTAAAGGGAATTTGTTGTTACAACCTTGAAGTCATTGGTTCAACAATTCACATACATATAAATGTTGACTAAAATTAGTTATTGTACTAAAGATATTGCTTTTGTGACAATAAAAGCAAAAGACTAGCATTTGTGTTTTCAATTTGTAAGACATGAATTCATTGACAATTATTATCGTTTGTTCATGGTACTTGAAATTTTATGCAGTCATTGAAATTCAGTTTTGTTACAAGCAGGGCTATAAGGGGCATACATTCAGTGGATAGCAAGCTCTTTCACATGCTATTGTTTGGCTGCAAGAATATGGAGGCCTAATCGATCAAGATCTCAGCACCAGCTGACAGCCCCAACACTGACAGCATTCATATTGGATCCTCGTCAAACATCACGATCTCGTGATCTCAAATTGGAACCGGCGATGATTGCATCTCCTTTGGTCCTGGCAGCACCCAAGTAACCCTTAACAATGTGTTTTGTGGACAAGGACATGGAATTAGGTGAACTGCAACTTTTTCTTTGCTTTGTTTAAAACATTTTCCTGATTAGGATTAGAAGAGGTTTTGGAACAATGTAAAAAGAAATGAATAAATCTAATGTACCTTTTTAACTTAACCAAAAAACTAGATTGAGGCTCATGGGAACATCTTTATATATTTCAGTGTTGGTAGCTTGGGCAAGCGTCCCAAGGAGGGTGATGTGGAAGGGCTTCACGTGAAGAACTACACCATCTCAGGCACCACCAATGGTTTGAGGATCAAGACTTGGGAAGATTCATACCGCAGTTCTGCTTCCAATTTCACATATGAGGATATAGTGATGAATAATGTGGCCAACCCCATCATAATAGATCAAGAATACTGCCCTTATGCTTCTATATATATACCAGAAGAAGATCATGAAAGAGTACCAATTAAAATACTAGCACATATATATACCAAAAGAAGATCATGGTACTATTTTCATAAAGCAATTAGAGTTCTATGTAGATGATGTCATTTACCCATGTGAATAGTATTACATCTCATGATGATGATATCATTCCAGAAAATAATTAACAAATACATTTGTTTATATGAAATATTTCTAGCTCAGCCTTCATTAATTATCTAAAATACCTCTTAACAAAAGTTACTGCATTGAGGAGTAAGGATATTGAGTTTCCAAAAATGTTGAGTGAGAGAGAGAGAGAGAGGTTCATTTCATATAGTTGTATGTATTGGAGATAAAAACAAGATATCATTTTGAACAAACCTTTTCTTGCCTTTGTTGCAAGGTCCCTCACGAGTCAAGATCAACAATATAAGTTTCAAGAACATTAGAGGAACCTTGACTTCAAAAGTCGCAGTGAATCTCTTGTGCAGCAGGGCATTCCCTTGTAAAAATGTTGAGCTCGATGACATCAAATTGGAGTACAATGACCAAGGGGAAGCTTCAACTGCTTCATGTACCAATGTAAACGAAGTCTCTGCTGGAGTACAAATACCACCGACTTGCCTCTAGGATCTTCTCTCTCTCCTTCTTGAAGTACAAATACCACCAACTTGCCCCACCATGCCCATAGGATCCATCCTCTCTCTCAATAAAAATCATCCATTATCTTTATGAATTTGATGTCCCTCCTCATGTGGGGTGGTGGCATGTGCACCATTATAAGATATATGTTTATGTGGAAGTGAAGCATATAAGAAAGTTAATTGATTCATGGTAATCAAATGACATAAAAATGGACTGTACAAATGTTGTGTACCTTGTTCCTCAGTGAGGAACTAAGTTTCTCTGTTATGCTTTTACCAAAATCAGCATTGGCTTCTCTCAATTTCTATGAGACTTATAAAAATTTCATTTTTAAATACCCTTTAACTCAATGAAATTCTTTGGCAATTGGGAACAACAAGAGATTGAGAACAAATGGTTGATTATTAAGTTTATATTCCATGATGCGACAGTAATGCATCCGCCACTAGTGACAGGAAAATCACCAATCTGGATCAAGAAATGGTAGGTGCGATCCCATTCCTGGTCGGAAATAGGCCATCCTACCCTTTCTATGTAGACCTTAGGAACATTCTCTCACTTAGCAAAAATCTATTTTTCTATTCGCTATTAGCTTAGAAGTATCAAAGAAAAAATTTGATAGATGAATTTATATAACTTCAGTTTTCTATTTTTCTCTTTTATTTCACTAAACCACCAATTTGCCCGGTTGGAATGAATGGGCGATCCATCTCATCCATGCTTTAAAAAACTGCACCTACCTGAGACACATGTTGATAGGTTTGATCGGTGGAAGCCCCATCTTACCAAGCTCCTAAAGAGGCAGTTTCCATGGGGAAGCATGGAAGCTACTGAACCCTTTTTTATACTATTTTGGAAGCTGCGAGAAGATGCAGCCTCCAAAATACATCTCATTATCAAACACAAGGAGTGCTACAATCCCAGGAGATGCTACGTCAAAAGTTGCGAGATCGTGTTTGCCAAACGCATCCATTAAGTGATCATATTTCCTGTATCGATGAGTATTCCCCCCATTATGGGAATTTCCAATCCTTCATTTGGCATTTGTAATAAACTATAAGAAACTAATCCTTTTAGTTTTACAAAATCATTACTCGCATGACTTGATTCCCCATAAATTCTCAATTGGCCATGGGTTGTGAAAAAACATTAGTTTTTGTTTAATTAAAGTAATTTTAAAATAGCAACCGACGGGCAAGCTTTCTATACTTTTCCTAATGTATAAAACTTATACACTTTCGCATATCCAACCGTCCATTTTGAAGGGATGGCTAATGGTCCCAATCACAACGTCACACCTCTACACTATTTTATTTTTAATTTTTTCTACAAAACATTTCGACATGAAATTTTGGGTGTCCTCTCCTCTTTTAAACTCACACATGTTAAAACTATAAAAACAATATTCTAGATAAAATAAAATAACCAAAATGACCCTCAAAGTTTCAAGGGTATTTTGATCATTTTATTTTATAAATTTTTTTTAGGTGCACCTCATTGAGATGATGACACATACCAAATTTCATATTCATATAATTTGTAGAAAAAATTAAAATAAAATGCTCTAAAGCATCAGGTGTAGATCAAACAGTTGGTAGTTCACTTCATCAAAATTGGATGGCTGGATGGGCGGGAAGTATATTCTATACAATACGGGAAGTATAGAAACATTTCCCTTGCAAATAATGAAGTATAGCCTCTATCATACAGTTCACTAAATGAACTATATAGAATGCCACATAAAACCAAAAAGATAATTTAATGCTATAGGCAATGAGATCACTTGCGCTTGGAATACCTAACTACACTATTTAAAAGATAATTTAATGCTATAGGCAATGAGATCACTTGCGCTTGGAATACCTAACTACACTATTTAATTAATACCTAGTCATTATATATCGGAAAAATTTGATTGTACAAATTGCACGTCGAATTAACTACTCAATTAGGTCACAATAGTACACCTATTAATAGGACTTCCAAGTTTAAAAGCAAAATTTATCAAAATACACATGACTTTTCAACAATTTAATTTACCCTTTTTCGACGATTCTAACTTATTGCTATGTATATTTTGATTGGCATTTTGAAATTAAACAAAAAATATGGTAAAATGTTAATAGTTGAACATTTATGTGTATTTTGATATAATTTCCTTTAAAAAATAACGAAATGCTCTCCAAGCTATGTAACCTTTTGCTTAAGTTATATCAAATACTCGAGGGAAAATATAAATTAAATGATGAAAATCTTACAAAATTATTAAGGGGGGCAAATCATACCTTTTGACATTTGGGGTATTACTCTTTAACTTTCATTTCACTCATATGCCTCATAGAAAATATTGTAAAAAATGATCAAATTACCCTTATTCGACATTGGAACTTAGTATAAGCATAATCATTTTAAATCACTGAAACATAGCATTTAAATATGTCTACTCGAGGAAATGTACTAATCAAATGAGGTACATTTTTCTTAAAACAAAGAAGATGCCAAGATCAAAATTGCTTCACATCTATTTCTTTCTTTTATTCTCCAAAATGAAACACCTGCCTAGCAACTTGTATCTTTAATTGCACTCCAAGGTGCCTTATTTAAATAAGGGTGCGGTTTGTATAGAGCCTAGGTTCTAAACAATCAAATTACAGCGTACCTTAAAATATATTTTATTTTTTGTTTATAAAGTTTAAAGCTTCAAAAAAAGTGTAGATCGACATATCTATGAAAACTTAAAAATCTTGAAAATTGACGGTCAAAAACTGCATTACAAAATACACTATTTTCAAAACTTCAAATCCATTTTTTTTTCATGTCCATGCATCATGATGTCTGGATGATCTATTGTAGGATATTTGGGCATCAAAACAATCTCTTCTAGTGATAGTTTTGATGTAGGCTCTAATTTTATTGTTTAGAGCCTCGGCTCTATATAAACTTTTCCCTTTAAATAAAGGGAACAGTTTACATAGAGCCTAGGCTCTAAAAATCAAATTAGAGCCTACATAAAAAATTTCACTAGAAAAGGTTCTTTTAATGTCCAAATATCATAAAATTGATCATCTCAGCATCAAGATGCATGGACTTGAGAAAAAAATGGATTTCAAGTTTTGGAAATAAGCATCTTGTAATCTATTTTTGGAATGTCAATTTTTAAATTATTCAAGTTTTTTTTTTTATTTGCTCAATCTACAATATTTTTTAAGCTTTAAATTTTATAATTAAAGATGAAAATATATTTTAGGGCTAGTCAAAGGTTTCCAAAATTGAAATCACATTTCTCGACCTTATTTGAAGGTGGGCTCTAATTTGATTGTTTAGAGCTTCGGCTCTATACAAACCGTACCCTCAAATAAATGTTGATGGTTTCATAAGTAGGGCTTTATCATGAACATGGTCATTATGTTAGTAGACCATGGTTTTTTCAGGAAAAGTGTTGTATGCTCCGAGGGATGCATTTGTACATTTGTGCCAGAGGCATAAAACAACCATTTTAAAGATGGATGCATACGTGTGGTCCCTTTAAAAAAAGTTAAAACCAATGGTCTACATATTTCCTTCACGAGATTATCATTTTAAAATTTATTTATTTTTACATATTCCTGATATCCACATTTGATATTACGTATACCATAAAATTTAAGTCCTAAATCCATTCAAAAATAAATTTTTAAGAGGGGAGTCCTAGAACTCATAGAAACATTGTCCTCACGTTTTATATGCAAGGCAGAGAGAGAGAAGTGAGTGAGAGAGAGAGAGGGGTTCTTGAAACATTTTTTGCGTTAGTGGAGCACCACTCTTTTTTTTTCTTGAACATTGTGTTCCGAGAGAGAGATGTTCTTGAAACATTTTTTGGGTTAGTGGAGCACCACTCTTTCTTTCTTGAATATTGTGTTCCACTCAACTAGCAGCTTCCAATTTCAAATGCACAATCAATTGCACATTACTCGATTTGTAGACGTAATAGTTATTCACTCCTGTTGGTTTAAACTTACAAGTAGAGAGTAACAGTCTGAAGTCTAAGGCAAACGAGTAGAGGGAGAGAGGATATAGAGAGAAAGAGGAGGAGGAGAGAGGAGGAATTTCTTTTATGGTGAACTTGTAATCATTGAGAATTTCTTTTTGGGGGGAACTTGTAATCGTTGAGAAATTTTTTGGTGAACTTTTAATCGTTGATGCTAGTAAAAAAAGGGGGGAGAAGAACCCCGCCAAAACACCTAGATATTGAAAGGGACGGGTGTGTTGTTGACGGTAAATCGCAAAAAGCTAGGGCTCTTCCAGAACAACTGGGAATAGTTTTGGTTTTTCGATATATCTCTATGATCATGAACCCCTAATTTATAGAAAGATGGGAGGAGGTTGTTCTCCAATTTTTGGGTTTTTTTTGTAGAATATCTGAGAAGTAGGTCTCAATACCTAAGAGGTTAAGGATTCTTTATCTAAAAAGCTTTTAAAGATAAATAATAATTAATACATAATATTTTTTAAAAAATATTAATTAGATAAAACAAAAATGTTGTACATGTGGGGCCCCATGGCTATACACATGTAGATACTTCGTAGATGTATAGTATGCGTTTCTATAAGTATTGACCGCGTGTCATTGTATACCAAGGTTGACACCTAGTCAAACCTCGGACATGTGTGCACATATATCAATGTTCTTGTTAGAGTATAGACACACTTGCTCGTTCAGGTAAAAGTGTGGCTTAGGACGATTTGATCTAAAATTTTGGGATCTACCTAACATTCATGTGATAATTATTTTAAATAAAGGAATTTGGAATTTAAATTCTTGAAGACTTTGAAAAAAAGAGGAAGAAAAATGAGGTTGGTGGTCAAGTTGAGCAGGTTTAAGCAGAAGGCGAGCAAGGGGTAGGCCCAAAAGGGCATGGATGGAAGTAATGAGAAAATCTATAGGGACTTATGGCCTCATTAATGACCCTTAAAGTGCTTACCATTTGTGGACACTAAAATACCCT